ACCACCCCTCCCCACACCTCCCCACCACCCTCCCCCTACCCTCCCCCACCACCTTCCCCTACCTCACCTCCCTCCCACCCTCCCCTACCACCCTCCTCACCACTCTCCCCACCACCTCCCCCACCACCTCCCCCACCACCTCCCCCACTCCCCTCACTCACCCTCCCCCACCACCTCCCCTACCACCTCCCTCCCCCACCACCCTCCCCCCCCCCCCACCACACCCTCCCCCACCACTCCTCCCCCCACCACTTCCCCACCACCCTCCCCACCACCTCCCCCACCACCCCCACCACTCCCCACACCCTCCCCACCCCACCACCCCACCAACTCCCCACCACCTCCCCCACCAACTCCCCCACCACCCTCCCCCACCACCCCCCACCTCTCTCCCACCACCCTCCCCCCACACCCTTCCCCCACCACTCCCCTCACCACCCCTCCCACTCCCACCACCCTCCCCCCTACCACCTCCCCCCCACCTCTTCCCCACCACTCCCCCCACCATCCCCCCACCACCCCCACCACTCCTCCCCCACCACCCTCCCCACCACACCCCCACCAACCCCTACCCCTACCAACCCCCACCAACCACCCCACCAACCCCCACCCCACCCCACCAACCTCCCCACTCCCCACCCCCTCCCCACCCCCACCCCACCACCTCCCCCACCTCACCCCCACCACTACTCCCACCAACTCCCCACCACCCTCCTCCCACCCCTCCCCACCACCCCTCCCCTACCACCCCTCCCCTACCCCTCCCCTACCACCCCCTACCCACCCCTCCCCTACCCCCACCCCTCCCCTACCACCCCCCTACCCACCTCCCTACCACCTCCCCACCCCCTACCACCCCTCCCCTACCCCTCCCCTACCCCCACCCCTCCCCTACCCACCCCCCCACCCCTCCCCACCCCCCTACCCACCCCTCCCACCCTCCCCTACCCCTCCCCTACCCCTTCTCCCCACCTCTTCCCTCCTCCTACCCTCCCCTACCACCCTTCCCTACTGCCCTCCTCCACCCCTCCCCACCCCTCCTACCCTTCTCTGCCCCTCCTCCACCCCCACCCTCACACCCCTTCCCTCCGCCCTCCTCCACCCTCCCCTACCACCCCTCCCCTACCCCTTCCCTACCTCCCTCCTCCACCCTCCCCTGCCTCCCACCCTCCCCTACCACCCTTCCCTACCACCCTCCCCTCCCCCCCTCACCATCTGCCTTCCGGTTGCACTCTGTCTTGGCCTTGATTCATTCTGGCGCTAAATTTTGAGGAGGTGATTGAAGCCCGTCACATCTCCATATCAATGACGTCTCAGGTTACCATAAGGAGACAGACGCCCACTGTGTGTGGGGTAATTGTGGGTCTAGTGAGTGCCGGGTGTGTGTGTGTGTGTGTGTGTGTGTGTGTGTGTGTGGGGGGCTAGAGAGACCTAAAACTGTCTCTCATACTACTCACCTCACTACTGAAGGGAGATAATGATTGATATACGTTATGCGCCCCCTCCTTCACCTCCCCACACACACACATTACAAGGGGCATTCCACATCTAACCTAACCTAACCTAAACTTATCCTAATCCTAACCTAAACCTAAACCTAAACCTAACCTAAACCTAACCTAACCTAACCTAACCACATCGTCAATATCTCCCTAAAATTGTGATGAGAATGAAACTGTTATGTCTTTTCTTGTGTCCCTAAGGTAGAAGTGAGAGATTTCTGTGGTAGGTGTAAGGTAGAAGTGAAATTTATGTGGTAGGTGTAAGGTAGAAGTGAGAGATTTATGTGGTGAGTTATAAGGTAGAAAGTGAATTTATGTGTGGTAGGTGTGGGTAGAAGTGAAAGATTTATGTGTGGGGTGTAAAGTAGAAGTGAGAGGTTCTGTGGTGGGTGTAAGTAAGTGAGAGATTTATGTGGTAGGTGTAAGGTAGAAGTGAAGATTATGTGGTAGGTGTAAATAAGTGAATTTCTGTGGTAGGTGTAAGGTAAGTGAGATTTCTGTGGTAGGTGTGGGTAAGTGAGGTTGTGTGGTGAGTTGTAAGGTAAGTGAGAGATTTATGTGGTAGGTGTGAGGTAGAAGTAGAGGTTTGTGTGGTAGGTGTGGGTAAGTGAGATTGTGTGGTAGGTGTGGGAGGTGGGGTGTTATGTGGTGAGTGTGGTGGTTCTGTGGTGAGTGTGTGGGTGGAGTGAGGGTTTATGTGGTGGGTGTAAGAAAAGTGAAGAGGTTTATGTGGTAGGTGTAAGGTAGAAGTGAGAGATTTGTGTGGGTGTGAGTAAGTGGTTGTGTGGTGGGTGTAGGTAAGTGAGATTTGTGGTGGGTGTGGGTGGTGAGGTTTCTTGTGGTAGTGTGAGTCAGTGAGATTGTGTGGTGGGTGTGAGTAAGTGAGATTGTGTGGTGAGTAAAGTGAGATTTCTGTGGTGAGTTGGTAAGGTGGAGTGAGATTTCTGTGGTGGGTGTGGGTAGAAGTGAGAGTTTATGTGGTGGGTGTGGGTGGAGTGAGGTTTTCTGTGGTGGGTGTGGGTAAGTGAGGATTTCTGTGGTGGGTGTGGAGTAAGTGAGATTTGTGTGTAGGTGTGGAAAAGTGAATTTCTGTGGTGAGTGTGGTAAGTAATTCTTGGTGGGTGTAGATAGTGAAGTTTTGTGGTGAGGTGAAATTTCTGTTTGGTAGGTGTGGAGTAAGTGAGAGATTTATGTGGTAGGTGTGGAAAATAAGTGGGGATTTATGTGTGGGTGTGGAAGTAAGTGAGTTTCTGTGGTAGGTGTGAAATAAGTGAGAGATTTATGTGGGTAGGTGTGGAATAAGTGAGAGAGGTTTCTGTGGTAGGTGTGGAAATAAGTAGAGATTTATGTGGTAGGTGTGAGTAAGTGAGAGGTTTCTGTGGTGGTGATGTGAAGGATAAGTGAGGTTTCTGTGGTGGGTGTAAGGTAAGTGAGAGATTTATGTGTGGTAGGTGTAGGTAGTGAGGTTTCTGTGGTGGTGTAGGTGTAAGTGAGAGGTTTATGTGGTAGGTGTGAAGTAGGTGAGAGATTTATGTGTGGTGGGTGTAAGTAAGTGGTTCTGTGGTAGGTGTGGGGTGAGGTTTATGTGTGGTAAGTGAGAGGTTTCTGTGGTGGGTGTGGTGGTTGTGGTGGTGTGAAGGTAAGTGAGAGGTTTCTGTGGTAGGTGTAGGTAAATGAGAGAGATTTCTGTGGTGTGGGTAAGTGAGGTTCTGTGGTAGTGTGAGTAAGTGAGGTTTCTTGGTAGGTGTGTAAGTGGTTTGTGTGGTAGGTGTGAGTGAAAGTGAGAGATTTCTGTGTGAGTGTGGTGAAGTGGGGTGTGGTAGGTGTGTGGAAGTGAGAGGTTTGTGGTGGGTGTAAGGTAAATAGAGAGATTTCTGTGGTAGGTGTGGAAGTGAGGTTTCTGTGGGTAGGTGTAGGTAAGTGAGATTATGTGGTAGGTGTGAAAGTGAGGTTATGTGGTAGGTGTAAGGTAGAAGTGAGAGATTTCTGTGGTAGGTGTTCTTCCTTTATTATCTCTGTGGCTCCTTGGAGATGTGATAGGTGAGATCTCCTAGTGTGTGTGTCTCCTAGTGTGTGTGTCTCCTAGTGTGTGTGTCTCCTAGTGTGTGTGTCTCCTAGTGTGTGCGTCTCCTAGTGTGTGTGTTCTCGTGTGTTTCCGTGTGTTTGTGTGTGTTCTCCTAGTGTGTGTGTCTCCTAGTGTGTGTGTTCCTAGTGTGTGTGTCTCCAGGCGCGCTGTGGTGGTGGTGGTAGCAGCCTGCAGAGTCGTTGGAGATATCAGGAGACTCTCAGGGGCATTGTCTCAAGCCACCAGCAGGGGCACAGGACGACCCTTAACCACACTACATGACCCTTATGCCACCACTCACCCTCCCACCACTGCCACCACCACCTACCACCCTTACCACCCTACCATTACACCACACCCTTCCACCCTTACACCACCACCACTACATCACACCACCACTACCCTTACCACCACTACCCCTTCCACACCATACACCTACCTACACCACCACACTACTACACCACCACCACTACCACCACCACCACCACTACGCCACTTACACCACCACTATGACCCTTACACCACCACTACCACCACCACCACTACCGCCCACCACCACCACTACCCTACCACCATCCACCTACCACACTCGCCACCACCACCTCCTTACACCCACACCACCACCACTGCACCCTCCCACCACCACTACCCTTCACCACCACCACTGCCCCACACTACCCTTACACCATCACCACCCTACCCTTACACCACCACCACTACCACCTACACTACCCACCACGACCCCACCACCACCACACTGACCCTTTACCACCACCACCGGCCCTTACACCACCACCAGCTCCACATCTGACTACAATTATAATTAGAGAAACATTTCAATTTCACAAGAGTAGTTCAGTGGTAATTGTCTGTGTTGTAATTTGTCGTCTGCATAGAGTTGATGACGTGCAGTGTTACCAAAGTTTCTCTTAAGTTGTTTTTTTGTTTGTTTTTGTTTTGTGTTTTGTTTGTTTTTTTTTGTTTTTGTTTTGTTTTGTGTTTTGTGTTTTGTTTGTTTTGTGTCTTTGTTTTGGTTTTTGTTTGTTGTTTTTGTGTTTTTGTGTTTTGTTTTGTTTGTTTTTGTTTATGTATGTTTTTTGTTTTTGTTTGTTTTGTGGTTTTTGTTTCTTCTTGAGTGTATAGTGTTGAGTTACAGTGTTGTGTGGTGGTGGTGGTGATGGTGGTTATTGTGGTGTTGGTGGTGGTTGTGGAAACGTGTGAAAGATATAATGAGGCCTTGGTGTAGAGGCCGTATGACATGAGGATCGTGGTATAAGGGCCGTGATGTAAACATTGGTATAAGGGCCTTGTAAGGATCGTGGTATTATACAGTATAAGGGCCGTGGTGTAAGAATCGTGGTATAAGGGCCGTGATGTGAGGGCCATGGTATAAGGGCGAAATATAAGGACCGTGGTGTGAGGCCGTGATGTGGTCATGGTATAAGGGCGAAATATAAGGACCGTGTGGTGGTGAGGCCGTGATGTGGGGTCAGGTATAGGGGCCGAAATATAGGACCGTGGTGTGAGGGCCGTGGTATAAGGGCCATGTGAGGCCGTGGAGTGGGGCCGCCGTGGTGAGCCGTAATATAAGGACCGTGGTGTGAAGGCCGTGATGCATGGGCCAATATAAGGACCGTGGTGTGAGGGCCGTGGATGAGGGCCGTGGTGAGGGCCGTAATATAAGGACCGTGGTGTGAGGCCGTGGTATAGGGCGAAATATAAGGACCGTGGTGTGAGGGCCGTGATGTGGTCATGGTATAAGGGGCCGAAATATAAGGACCGTGGTGTAAGGATCGTGGTGTGAGGCCGTGATGGGGGCCATTAAGGGCCGTATAAGGACCGTGGTGTGAGGGCCGTGGTATAAGGGCTGAAATATAAGGACCGTGGTGTGAGGGCCGTGATATGGTCATGGTATAAGGGCCGAAATATGGACCGTGGTGGGGCCATGGTAAACCATGGTGTGAGGTCGTTGAGTGAGACCGTGGTGTGAGCCGTGGAGTGAGGGCCGGGAGTGAGGGCCGTGGTATAGCCATGGTGTGAGGGCCGTGGGTGATGAGGGCCGTGGTGAGCCGTGGTGTGAGGCCGTGGAGGTGGGGCCGTGGGTGAGGCGCGTATAAGGGCCATGGTGTGAGGCCTGGTATAAGGGCCATGGTGGAGAGCCGTGGGTGAGGACCGTGGTGAGCCGTGGTGAGGGCCGTGGGTGAGGGCCGTGGTGAGGGCCGTGGTATAAGGGCCATGGTGTGAGGGCCGTGGTGAGGGCCGTGGTGTGAGGCCGTGGGTGAGGGCCGTGGGTGAGGGCCGTGGTGTGAGGGCGTAATGAGGTGCATCAGCAGGACACCTTCAGCCTTCAATACTAAGGCCAGTGGAGACAACCAGGCATCTCCGTGTGTGTGTCCCCGGGCGCTGCTGTACCACGGTGGTCCATCGGTACACCAGGGGCCTCAGGGAAGTCCATGGGAGGCCCTTTCTTCCCCTCTGACTTTCCCCTTCACCGGGGCCGTGGAAGTCACCTTTTCTTTACTCAACGGGCCTGACGTTTTCTTTCACTTATGCCCAGGCGCGTTGGTAGAGTTCTCTTTACCTCCCCAAGTGGGCGTGGTGCTGCCCTCAACCCTCCTCCTCCTCCTCCAACCCCCCCTCCACCCCAGCCCCAGCCCGTCAAGATGAAGAAGCAATTACGATACTTGACAAAACCGGGGCACAAAACCATCCCCATAGAGAGGCTTCATGAGCAACACAATCGTCTACATTTGGTTTTTGTGTTGTGTCAAAACCTCAAGGGTCAGTGTTGTGTGTGTGTGTGTGTGTGTGTTGTGTGTGTGTGTGTGTGTGTGTGTGTGTGTGTGTGTGTGTGTGTGTGTGTGTGTGTGTGTGTGTCAGAGCACCGTGCAGCTCAGGACGTGTTGGACGGCTGTGGGGAGTGGTCTTGTTTCTGTGAGACTGAGTTATGATTGTAATGATGTGTGTGTCTCTCTCTCTCTCTCTCTCTCTCTCTCACACTCTTCATTTCTGTCTTCCTGCCTTCCCATCCTCCTTCCCTTCCCTCCTCCTTCCTTCCTTCCTTCCTTCCCTCCCCTTCCTTCCTCCTCTCCCCTCCCTCCCACACCCACAACCACACACAAAGATCGTTGTTGAACAGTTCCGATACAACGACGCAACACGAAGAGAATCCTCTTGCTCTCTTGTGTCCCAGGTGTCCCAGTGCGTCCCAGTATATCCCAGTGCCAGTGTGTCCTAGTGTGTCCCAGTATATCAGTATATTCCCAGTGTATCCCAGTATCCCAGTGTCTCAGTGTGTCCCATAGTGTTGTCCCAATGTGTCCCAAGTGTCCTTTGTGTGTTGAGAGATGAGGGGGTCCCAATAGAGTAACAGGGGCCTGAGGCGATAGGTATATAATTGCATTCCGAGTGAATTGTTGGGCATAAAAAACAAAAGTTACTCTTCCTCCTTTTCTCCTTTTTCTCCCCTTTCTCCCTCCTTTCTCCCCCTCTCTCCCTTTCTCCCCTTTCCTCCTTTCTCCCTTTCTCTCTTGTCCCCTTCCTCCTTTCTCCTTGTCTTTCTTGTCCCTTCTCCTTTCTCCCTCTCTCCCTTGTCTCCCCTTCCTCCTTTCTCCTTTCTTTCTTGTCTCCCTTTTCTCCCTTGTCTTCCATTTCTCCCTTTTCTAACCTTGTCAATTATTAATGTAATGAGGTAGAGTCAACGACATATGCTTCCGAGGATTGACATGTAAATTAACTCTTTGATAGTGATGGTTTAACCCTTTGATAGTAATGGTTTAACTCTTTGATAGTGATGGTTTAACCCTTTGATAGTGATGGTTTAACTCTTTGATAGTGATGGTTTAACCCTTTGATAGTGATGGTTTAACCCTTTGATAGTGATGGTTTAACCCTTTGATAGTAATGGTTTAACCCTTTGATAGTGATGGTTTAACTCTTTGATAGTGATGGTTTAATAATATGACGTCAGTGGTTTAATCTGTGAGTGCAATTTTAAGGCTTAGCTCTTTGATGATGATTAAACCCTTTGAGGACCTAACCTAACCTGACCTGACCTGACCTAACCTGACCTGACCTGACCTGACCTGACCTGACCTAACCTGACCTGACCTGACTCTGACCTAACCTAACCTGACCTGACCTAACCTACCTGACCTAACCTGACCTGACCTGGACCTGACCTGACCTGACCTGACCTGACCTGACCTAACCTAATCTACTCCCAGATAGCATTAGGATGATTAATCTTCTCAGGTGAAATAAGCTTGGGTGTCTAACTTCTGTGAAATAAGCTGGGTGTCTAATCTTCAGGTGAAATAAGCTTGCATCTGATCTTCAGGTGAAAAATCCTTGGGTGTCTAATCTCCAGGTGAAATAAGCTGGTGTCTAATCTTCAGGTGAAATAAGCTAGGGTGTCTAATCTTCAGGTGAAATAAGCTGGGGTGTCTAATCTTCAGGTGAAATAGTTTGGGGGTATCTGATCTTCAGGTGAAATAAACTGAGGTGTCTAAGCTTAGTATTTAATCTTCAGGTGAAATAAGCTGAGGTGTCTAAGCTGTATCTAATCTTCAGGTGAAATAAGCTGAGGTGTCTAAGCTTGGGGTATCTAATCTTCAGGTGAAATAAGCTGAGGTGTCTAAGCTTGTGTCTAATCTGCAGGTGAAATAAGCTGAGGTGTCTAAGCTTGGGGTATCTAATCTTCAGGTGAAATAAGCTTGGGTGTATAATCATCAGGTGAGCCGAATGCACTGGTCATTCTCCCAATACATAATAATAATCTATTGTGGTGATGACTGTTGTATTCTCCTCCCACCACTGCCCCAGTCACTGTTACCGCAGGGCCGACAGGTGACTCTATGTTATTGTACACAGTTGAAGGGTAATGACGGAGTTACGTGGGCTGGCTGAGGAAAACGATGGTGGGTGGTAACGGGGGATGGTGATGGTGATGGGGATGGTGGTGATGGTGGGGTGGTGGTGGTGGGTGGGGATGGTGGGTGTGATGGTGGTGGCATGAGGTTAGTGGTAGTGGTGACGGAGATTGTGTGTGTGTGGTGATAATGCGATGAAAGAGAGGGGGGGAGAGAAGGAGGATGAAGGAGAAGGAAGAAGAAGGAATAGGTAGGAGAAAAAGAAGGAGAGGAGGTAGGAGTAGGATGGAGGAGGGGTGAGGTAGGAGGAGGTAGGATAGAGGGGGGTAGGAGGGGGTTCAGCCTGCACCTATAAGCAACCATCGTCCGACAATGACACTGTGTGGAGTTAATGAAACATTCCAGTGTGTGTCTCCCTGCTGTGCGGCATCCTCCTGCCCTACCCCGCCTGCCCTGCCCGGCCCCCGTCTCTCTCTCTACTAGCCCGTCTCTACTAGCCCCCACTCCCTTCCTAGCTCGTCAGTCCATCTGCTAGTCCACGTCTCTTCTCCGATTCCTAGCCCCTCTGCCTGCAAACTAGCCAGCCTTTCTGCCCTCTGCCTGCAACTAGCCAGCCTTTTCTGCCCTCTGCCTGCAAACTAGCCAGCCTTTTCTGCCCTCTGCCTGCAAACAGCCAGCCTTTCTGCCTCTGCCTGCAAACTAGCCAGCCTTTTCTGCCCTCTGCCTGCAAACTAGCCAGCCTTTCTGTCTTCTGCACACCCACCCGCCCGTTTGTTGTCCGCCTGTTCGATCGCTAACCCGCCCATTTACTACCACTCACTAGCCCACCCGACTATCCACCCAGCCGCCCACTAACCTGGTAATACACCATATTCTCTACGCCCCCACCATCCCACCCAGCAAACTCCGATAATAACCCGCCCACTCCGACGACATGGACTAGCCGACAAGCCAACGGACCGACTAACCCCCCCCTACCGACCTCCCACCAGCCCGACTACCCGATCAACCAACCGCCTCGTCGCCCACCCGCCAGTCTAACCACGGTACATAGTCATCCGCCGACCTATCCCAGCGGCCGACCTATCCCAGCGGCCGACCTTGTCTCCCCATCCGTAGTAGTTGCGGGATAACATTGTGAACATAACGAACATCCGATCTCCAACCCCGACCAAAAATCTGCGAACTCACCGATTTACACAACACCATTAAGCTTCCTACCCAGCCACCGACACAACACCGATTAAAGTTTCCTATCCAGCCACCGATTACACAACACCGATTTAAGCTTCCTACCAGAAATACTGACAAAACACCGATTTAAGCTTCCTACCCATCCACCGATTTACTGATATCATTCCACCATCACAATTACTGTCTTGTGTCACAGAGAATAAAAATTGTGTGATGATTTCAGTACAAAACACATAAGGGCTGGATGTAGTGAGAGGGCTGGGGTGGTGAGGAGGCCCGGGGTGGAAGGAGGCTGGAGGTGTAGTGAGAGGGCCGGGGTAGGAGAGGCCGGGGGTGTGGTGAGAAGGCTGGGGGTGAGGAGAGGGCCTGGGTGTGGGGAGAGGGCCGGAGGTGTAGTGGAGGCCGGGGTGGGGAGAGGGCCGGGGTGGTGAGAAGGCCGGGGTGTAGAGAGGCCTGGGGTAGTGAGAGGCCGGGGTGTAGTGAGAGGGCCGGGGGTGTAGTGAGAGGGCCGGTGTAGTGAGAGGCCGGGGTGTAGGAGGGCCGGGGGTGTGGTGAGGGCCGGGTGTAGTGAGAGGGCTGGGGGTGTAGTGGAGAGGCTGGGTGTGGTGAGAGGCCGGGGTGTGGGTGAGGAGGCCGGGTGTGGTGAGAGGGCCGGGGTGTGGGTGAGAGGCCGGGGTGTAGTGAGTGGCTGGTGGTGTGAGAAGCCGGGGTGTAGTGGAGAGGCTGGTGGTGTAGTGAGAGGCCGGGGTGTGGGAGAGGGCCGTAGGTGTAGTGAGAGGCCCGGGGTAGTGGGAGGCCGTAGGTGTAGTGAGAGGGCCGTAGGTGTAGGAGAGGGCCGGGGTGTAGTGAGAGGCCGGGGTGTAGTGAGAGGGCCAGGTGTAGTGAGAGGCCGGGGGGTGTGGTGAGAGGCTGGGTGTAATAATAATAATAATAATAATAATAATAATAATAATAATAAACGGTTTATTAATAGAGTTGTAGCCGGTATGGAAAATATTCAGACTTACATTTGATTTAGACATAATGATATAATATGCGTTGAATACATTTACAGGGCTGTACAGTACATAAATGAGGAGTTGTTTATTATTTTAACAATAGATGGGATGGTGCTGTTCTTATATCTATCGGTGCGGGCTCTATGGGCTGAATTTTGTTGTAGTGGCGGACTG